TCTCATCATCATCAGTATTCCATCATCGGAATATTCTAATGTGCGGTCATTAAGAATTCAGACTTGGTACCACGTGCAATGTGTGATTAGTAAGATGAGTTTTCTGTGTGCATAAACTTGTTTCCACATTTTGTAATGCCGCCGATCATAATAATCGTATTGCATATTGTACACGAGGACAAAGTTTCACGTTAACGTATATATATATATATACATAAAATGATAATGCCGTTCTTCTCTTAAACGCGTTACAGAAACATTCGTGGGTGTAACATAGCTAACCTTCCGGCTGTCGCACACACCTTGTTCGCCTTCGGCTTGATTTAATCGATTACTCGGTTAACGTATCGCTTTTGCAGAGGAAATATTCATGCTGATGCTAAGACAAGCTGCTGGATAAAATCAGGTGTACTAGATTAAGGAAGTGACTTTAGATTTTATGTACACTTAAAAAATGTTGATTCAAAGAGAGGGTGGAAATTTTCATCGCGAATATTTTTTTCTTTTCTATTTTGTACATAGGTTTTTTTTATGTCCACTCTCTAAATTTGAATCAGTTAAAAATCGTAAATTTAAGTGACAATCAGTGACTGACTTTTTGTTTCTGAATCAGTTCAAAAATCTACTGAAACATCAATTATTTTTTGTTGACAATCAGTGATTGACTTTTTGATTTTGAATTAATTTAAAAAAATGACTGATTTTCAGTAAAAAAATAACTGAAAAATTATTTAAACTTGACTACTTTAATCAGTTTAAAAAATCTACTGAAACATTAATTATTTCTTATCGACAATCAGTGACTGACTTTTTTCTTTTGAACCAGTTAAAAAAATGACTGATTTTCAGTAAAAAAAAATAATGGAAAATTATTTAAACTTGACTAAATAAATCAGTCAAAAAAATCTATTGAAACTTAAGTTATTTTTAATTGCCAATCAGTTATTCTTAACTAAATGTTACTAGAAATATTTCTATTTAAATTAATGACAGAATTTTTGCTTCTAAATCAGTTATTTTTAACTGATTCAAATTTATAGAGTAGTAAATTATTTATTTGTTTCAAATAAATTTTGTTTGGTTCATATAAATTTTAATTGGTATTCAAATGAATTTTATTTGTTCTAAATAACAAGCCTCGGTTATTATGACTTTTTCGACTTTTTTTTTATTTATTTTCAAAAACTGCGACTTTTTCTCGATTTTTCTTCCAAATTTTCCAACAAAATACTACATTTTTAGTAGAAAATGCAACTTATTTTGATTTTTATACTAGTGTGAAAAATAACAATAGACAAATTTTTCAAAAATTATTTTTGAATAGTTTTTTTAATTAAATTTTGAAATATATATAATTAAAAGGATTTTGAAGAATTGAAATTTTGGAAAATTTAATTTTGAAAATAATTGATTTTTTTCATCAAGTATTTTATTAAAATTTTTCAAAATCAACTTTTGGAAAATTTTAATTGTAAATTTTGAAAATAATTGAATTCTCAAAAATTTAAATGAAAAATCTTCAAATGTAAATTTTGATAGTGAAAACTAATGAAAGTTAGCTTATAAAAATTATATTAAAATATTTTTGAAAAAAGTGAATTCTTAGAATTTTTTTCATTCTAATTTTTTAAAAATTCAATTAATTACAATATTTTGAATTATATATTTCCAAGAGTTCTTTTAAGAAATTCTTTTAAGAAATTTAATTTTTTTCGAAAAATAACATTACAATCACTGAAAAAACGATATTCTAAATTTAAGAATATAATCTTGGCTCCTATTTAAGTATATTTTCCATGTGTTTTATTCTTAAAATTAAAAGGAAAAAGTAGGGAAAAGTTTCTTAAAATAAGAATATTTTTTTATTTTAAGAAAATTTTTCTTATTTTCATAGTATTATATTTTAACTTTAAGATTAAAACATATGGAAAATATACTTAAATAGGAGCCAATTTAATTATCTTTGAACAATGATAAATTCAAAATTTGTTTAAATTACTTTTTTAGACTTATTAAAATTTCGGAGAGATCATGTTAATATTTATAATTAGAATTCTTCAAAAATTTGATTATTTTTTTTACATTTTTCAAAAATTTAATTATTTTTAAAAAGTTTTATCAAATTTCAATTATTTTTAAAAGATTTGACCGAATTTCAATTCTTTGGAGTTTGTTCAATTATATAGAATTGAAAAACTATTATCTTTCAAAAAATATTTCAAATATTTGAAAAAAATTAATTCTAAGAATTTCTTGAATTAATTTTTTACAATTATCGTAAAAAATTGAATTTTTATATTTAAATAATTGAATTCTCGAAGAACTTTAGGAAAATTATTAAAAATAATTGATTTAGAGATGAAGTTTAATTTAAAATAATTGTATTAAATAATTGAATTTTGGAAGGGTTATGGTTGTAATTTTTCAAAATTATTAAATTTCAGAAGGTTTTAAATTGAAATTTTTTAAATTTTATTTCCCGTGGAAAAACAAATGATTAAATATTTATTTAACAAAGTTATTGAAGTTTTGAATAATTGAAATTAGAAGTAAGTGAAAGGTTTTAAACTTTAAAGTGTAAAAGCACTTTTTATTGATGTTGCTTATTTTTCATTTTTAAATCTCTCGCGATAAAATTCAACTGATTTTCTCGTTTGCAAAACTAGTGTTGTGTAGGGTGTGTAGTTCTATGTATGTGAAAAACTTATTTGAATTTCAAAAGAGGTTAAAAGACGACTAAAAGTATTATATTCTGAGAGATGAAAATCTTTTGAAATATTAAAGAATTGAGAATTTTGCTTGGACAAATATTGCATCGTGTCAGCTTTAATGATATTTTTGTCTATGAACTGTGCGAGAATGAAAATTTAATGAAACGTCGGTATGAAGATATTTGAAAATATTTTTTGCTCATGCGCAATTATTGTGAGTTGATTTCTTTATTCGATTGATTGAATGTTAAGTAAAATTGGGAATGGTTGTTGGGTATAGAAGTACCGTTAGCAACAAGGTGTATTTTTTGAGAAGGTGAAAATTTTTATCGATTATTTATTTTTGTTAGTTATACACTCAGCAAAAAATTACGTTTGAAGCAATTCTCTGTAAATTGTTGTACTAACCTAAGTTTTTATAAACATAAAATTTTATAGACTTAAATTTTTATGAACCTAAATTTTTATAAATCTAAATTTTTATTAACCTAACTTTTTATGGACCTAAATTTTGATGAATCGAAGGTTTTATAGACCTAAATGTGTACAAACCGAAGTTTTTACAAACTTAATTTTTTAAAAATCGAACTTTTCATAAACCGAAGTTTTTATAGACTTAAGTTTTTAAAAACCAAAGTTTTTATGGACCTAAAATTTATAATTTTAAGTTTTCATATTTCGTTGATTTAACCAAAATTCTGGTGGTAATATTTGAAACAAAATTTTTTTCTGACTGTACTTTTGTTGATTACTTTTGTCTTGTATATTTTCTTCTTGTTTGCTTCTTATAATGAGAAGCTGGTGATCAATAAAATTCAATGAGTAACAAAATTCTTAAGGCAGGTCAAAAGGAAGTGGAAATTCGTTCAGTGAGCTTTTAAAAGAACGTAAAAAGAAAATTAGAAATTTTTTTTTTTTGCTTTGCATTATGTAATTCGATTTTTGAATTTCATACAGTACCGTCCGAAATTGTCAGTCCACCCATTTTCAAAGGAATGACAAACATTTTTTAACATAAAATTCATAAAAAGTAAAATTTTTTTTGGTTTATATTTTGAAAGACGATAAAATTTTGAAAAGAATAAGACCTTACAGAAGTCATTTGGCCAAAATTTGTAGAAGATATTCTTAAAAATCGTCATTTTCAATGTTTTACAAAAAATTGAATAACTTCTAAAATAATGAACGCTTTTTAATAATCTTAGGCTTATTTTAAAGACCATTTTCTACAGAATAAGAATTACTTATAGGCATTAACCTGTAATTTTTAACTTGGAATAAGCTTGACGTCAAAGTTGGACAAAAAAATTCAAAAAATTTGAAATAATATTATTAAAAGAAAAATAATTTTTGAAATTCAAACATATATTTTTATTAAAATTTCTTAAAAAATCTACACCATATCATGTTTTATATATGTTCTAGAATAGTTTTTAGTACAAAAAATTGATTTCAAATTTTTCCAATTTTTTTGTCTAATTTTGACGTCATGCTTATTCCAAGTTAAAAATGACAGGTTAATGCCTATAAGTAATTCTTATTCCGTAGAAAAAGACCTTTAAAATAAGCCTAAGATTATTAAAAAGCGTTCATTATTTTAGAAGTTATTTAAATTTTTGTAAAACATTGAAAATGACGATTTTTAGGAATATCTTCTACAAATTTTGTCCAAATGACTTCTGTAAGGTCTTATTCTTTTCAAAATTTTATCGTCTTTCAAAATATAAACCAAAAAAAATTTTAGTTTTCATGAATTTTATGTTAAAAAATTTTTGTCATTCCTTTAAAAATGGGTGGACTGACAATTGCGGACGGTACTGTATTCTTTAAGCTTTTTTCTACCTGCCATCAATATTATCCAATTCATTAACGTAAGTTCAATGCATATTTCAGGGTCATTTTTTATTCTCTTTTTTTTGTCGGAATTATTCATTCAAAATGCGTTTTAAACCGAAATTTATTCGTCGGTAGTAGAGACAGAATCTTTCTATTGTTGCTCCAAAAAAAAGGGGGTGATGATCAGTTGATAATTGATAATATTCGAAATTTGAATCTGATTCGAAATTTTAGTTTCTTAACAACTGAAGATCAAAATTGGAATTTTGGTTTAAATCCGGATGTTCTGAAATCGAACGATTAAATTTTAAACCCCCCTGTAATTTTATTCTTTTGAAATTCTGGCGAATTTCAAAAGAATAAAATTAGAGAGGGGTTTAAAATTAAAAAAAATTTTTAGATTTTTTTCACGATTCGCAAGAGAGTGAAATAAAATCGAAGAGATTTTCTCGAGACTCGGGGTTCTGAAGTACGATAATACTGTCCTGAACGGGTAAAGGCCACGAAGACAACCGACATACTGCGGATTAAACCGAACTCGAGCATGAGCGGTCCTCGACTCTTTGGTGCGAGCTATGGCTATTGACCGAACCTGGCGAACCGGCCGGTCAGCTGTGAGCTGAACCGCTACCGACTCTAATATACAATTTTTTCTCCTTGCCAACAAATTTTCAAGTGTCGAGATCATCGAGCAAACGAAACTGAAAAACATTCCCAACAATTAAACGGCAAAGACAAATGGCAAAAAATATACAAGAAAGAAAAAAGAAACCCCGGATCACTATCGTCAAACAGAAGTGATCTTGCGCGGAATAAAAAAGAACGATACAACCGGAGGAAGCAGTCGTGCACCATCTCTTTTGCCTTCTAGTCGCTCGACAGTCGGGTCGACCAGTGCGTGCTTGGAACTCTACCATGACACTTCTCCGGCACTGATTCTCGCCACAAGACGCATTATATATTACAAGAAAAAAAAAAGAAAAGATAAAATCTGGTCAGTGCTTTTTAGTAAACGCGAATCTAACTTACAAGAAGATAAGATTTTTCAAGTGTCCCCTCCGGATAGAGAGACAAAATACGAACAAAGTGAATTAATTCCAATAAATTTCCATCCAAAGTGAAAATTTCTTTTTCTTTTTTTTTGCTCTCGAGTGAAAAAAATTGTGCTAATTAAATCGGATTTACTCAGTGGTGGAAGTGCAAAAAAAAGGAGATATATAAAGTGCATAGTTACAGTGAAATTTTCTATCCTAAAACACCAAGTGCTTAACAAAAATTTTCTCCCCCACCCCTTTCTAAATTCCAAAAAATGAGCCAAAATATTCAATTTGTTTTGGCGATTTTTCGAAAAACCCAAGTGTAGAAAAAGAGGGTCACCCCTGAAGATGATATCGTCCCTGGCAAGCTCGTAAAAGTCGTCTGATCGCATCGATCGCCGATTCTCTCTCTCTCGACAAAGGAAAAGACAGTCAGTCAAAATTTCTACTTCTGCCTTTCTTTTTTTCGTGAAATTGCAAAAAACAAAAGGAAGAAAAAGAAGAGGAAGGAAAAAAGAAGTTTTTTTTTGAATATTAGAGAGCAGAAAAAATTTTTTTTCTATACCTCACTGCTGTAGAATACAGTGCAAAAAAAAGTGATAATCCGTAACATGCTAAATGAGATGACAAAAAAGTGATAATATGAAATTTTAGGAGTTATGCATAAGGCAATGTAGTTGCTAGCTAGGTATCGATTTTTGTTACACTGTTTGTTACAAAAAAATTTTCCTGCAATAAATTTTCGCTGGGTTAAAGTTTTGTTGGAACCCATTTTTTCGTCAAATAATTTTCTTTGAGACTATTTTTTTGATGGAACCAATTTTTTCTTCAGCAACAAATTTTTGATGGAACTAATTTTTTCTTCAGCAAATTTTTTACACTTTTTCTGCAACTAATTTTCGTCAGCAAACTAATTTCTCTGCAACAAATTGTCAGCAAAGGTTTCTTACAACAAATTTTCGTCGGCAAACTGTTTTCTTACACAAGTTTTCATTGGGAAAAGTTTTTCTTCATACAAATTTTAGTTAAACGACTAAAAATTGTTACGATTTTGTATCAAAGTTTTGTTATGGAGCAACTGATTTTGTTACAACTGAAAGTACCTAAAGATTCGGTAACTGGTGGAAAATACAAGTAGTTGGTAAAAGAATTTACTTGTACTGTTTGATACTTATTTACGACAAGAAGTTTAGTGAAGAAAAATTTAGTGGAGTGAAGAAATTTGCCTGATAGGAGTAAAATTTACTTGGTAAAAGAGTACACGAATTTACCACTTATTTGCGAAGAGAGTAACTTGGTAGTTAAAAGAGTTCTTACCAGAAGAGTAAGAAATCTACTTGGTGAAAAGTAAGAAGACAAAAAAATATTTGAAAAGAAGAAAGAGAAGTACCCGACAAGAAGGAAAAAAAAAGTGAAGAAAAAGTTTAGTTATTGGTAAAGAGAAATGAAAATTGACAGTGGAGATGTATTAGAGGAAAGAAAGGCGATTTTTTTCACTTGACGAATGTATAATATATGGATGAGAAAGGAGGAGGTGGAGGAGAGGAGAGAGAGAGAAAGGATCTTGATAGAGAGGAAAGAGAGTCATTAACGATCAAGTGCTAGAATCTTTTTCTTCAAAGAACCTGCAAAAAGCGATGCTTGAAAAACCTGTCGAATCGCTCAGGTCTCGAGGCTTCTGTAGTGGGTTCCGGCGAAAATTGCGCTCACTGTAGTGGGCTGCGTCGAAACCGGTTTCGTTTCGCTTCGAATCTCGCGTTTATAAAGGTCGTGCGTCGAGGGAGGAGTAAGACTCGTGGAAAACGAATTTACACGAGGACACCCGCACACGAGTGAGAGAGAGAGAGAGAGATTTCTTATCTCTTTTTGCCTGTCATGATCTCTCTACAACGACTCATGTCGTCGTCTTCGTGACCGGTTCAAATTTTCACTATAGTTTCATCTTTCTTTTGACCTTGACCGAAGGAAAATATGATTCCTTGTTCGAAAAATGATCCGATTTGTCGAATTTTGTCAAGTAGTTGTGGTTCTTTAGGATTCTTCTCTTCTTTAGCTGGAGAGTTGAAAACATTAGTTGGAGAGTTCTAAACTTTAACTAGTGGGTTTCTGTACTAAAGGTGAAAATTTTCAAGACGAATTTTTGAAAAGCAGATGACTCTATCTTGTAGATAGAAATTTTCGAAAAGCAGTATAAAATTGTGGCAGATATCTATCGTGTAGATAGAAATTTGTGAAGTACTGGACATCTTGTTTGGGACAAGATGGAAGATGGTAATTTAAAGGAGGAACAGGATTCGCCTGAGAGGATTTCGTTAACGATGAATCGTCTAAAGACCTAATTGTTATCTAATGATCCAAAGAGGTCAAGTGATTAGTGATGAAGCGCGCATCAAGCGCTTCTACAGTGGCACAGGTGCAGTCCGTGATCTTGCCTGGCAAGATTCACGAATTACGTAGCCCAACATTACTGCCGACAACAGAGGAGCTCAATGAGACAATCAGCATCAGGTCGATAAATGAACATCACCATCAAACATCACCACAATCAGTAAAAACAACTGACAATCGACAGATCGATGAGCAGAGTAAAAATTCAAAGTCACCAAAAGCAGCAATGTCCCGATTGCTGACTGTTGACTCAGAGAATTATATGCTACGTAAAGGTTCAACAAACACATCATCGAATCCGTCGTCGATGTCGGATATCGCCAGCAATCAACAACAACAACAACAACAGCAAAGAGATTGTCCCCATAATTTTGCTATTAGCACCAGTAAATTGTCCGCCACTGGAAATGGCACCTACTGTACGGCAGATATTTCATTCGTGCAAGTATCAACGGTAACGGGCAAACCAAACAATCTGGAGAAGTCAGTGGTGAGCGTTTGCGAAAGTTCCCAGAGTTACGACGAGACTAACCAGTCGATTCGTTCTCTATATTCCGATTCCACAACAACAACATCATCATCATCTTCGACGACAACAACTGGGAATCATACAACACTCCTGACGAAAGGAGGCGCCACAGTTGCCCAACGACGGACATCTAATCAAATAGCCTTTACAAATGGAACAAATGTGTCTTTATCAATTTCTTCCTCCACCTCTTCCTCATCTCTTATCGTTCCCTCGTGTCCTTCCTTAAAACAATTCTCACCTGATGTAAGTAAAGTACTTGAGAGTCATAATAATGTTCTTGCCCACAAGAACAATCAAGATGAACAATTAGTGATTGATAATAATTCCCGTTTAGATGATTATGACGATAAACATTTTGTATCATGTGCAAGACCATTGTCCTTTCACAGGCACATGTGCTGGTGTAGTCCTCAACTGTTGATCTCGAAAAATTCATCGGTTAGTGATACCGATATTGAACTTTCTAAAGCAACAATTAATATTAATAATAATAATAATAATAGCAACAATAATAACAATAATAATAATAACAACGTCAAGTCTTTAATCGGAAGTGATAATACAACAACAACAACAACAGCAACTGCAAAGAATAGTTTTTTGCTTGTTAACGGAGTGAAAAATGGTTGCGACAGTAAAATAGTTGATAGAAAATTAAATCATTCGTATCGGAATCTATGTTGTTGTATGTGCGGATCTTTCTGTCCTATAGAGTGCCACGCGTGCTTCCACGTCGTCTGCTCGGAATACAGCGGACAGCATCTGTGCCAATGGAGTTCCAAGGGTCACGCTTTGCCAGGACAGGTCTTCGACAAGGAAAAGGTCAGTGTACAAGACGTTACGATCTTATCTTTTATCGTTCTCTTTTTCTTTTTTTTTCTTTTTTTTCATCATTATTCTTACCTTACACGTGCCACTTATATAGGTTTTTTTCCCCTCCATTTACATTTACAAAAAAGTGTGAGTGGTATTTTTTTTATTCGCGCGAAGGGAAAAAAAAAGAAAATTGAAGGTCGAATAACCAGTGGAAAACCGGAAGATCAATGCATTGTTAATGTTTTTTTTTTAAATGTTTTAAAATGCATTATATATATAGGAAATAGGTATTCTCGGGCGCGCGTATATTTTAATAATTTATTCTAAATTTTACCCTTGAGTAGATTTTATCGCAGTGCTCGTGGACAATAATTTACATGCGTTATATTCGAGGAATATATTTTGTATTTATATATAGATAGTTTTCAAGTTTACTTTTTTTTTTTTTTTTTTTTGAAAAGTTTTGTTTTTCCGTTTTCTCTTTTTTTTTCTTATTTATTACTTTTTATTTGTACTCTTTTCTTAGGATATTCGAAGTTAAATCTAAATTCGTGATAAAAAAAGAACATTTAGAGAAGGAATTATTTTTATTTATTGTATACTGCTGGGTATCTTTTCGTCTAAATCTGAATTAGTTAAAAATAACTAATTGTTAGTGAAACATTTACTGATTTTTTGCTTCAGTAATTAGTAAAAAAAAAATTAATTATTGGTAGAAAATAAATAATTATTGATTGAAAATAATTTATTGCTAGTAGCTCTCTAAATTGAATTAGTAAAAGTATTTAGTAATTTGAATTAGTGATTGAGTTTTTGTTTTTAAATTGCGGTAAATTTTGCTAAAAATTAGTAGAAATTACTGGAATTACTAGAAATGACCATAATTACTAAAAATTATCAGAATTACTAGAAATTACCAGACTTACTAGAAATTATTATTTATTAGTAAAATATTACTAATAATTAGTCATATTTTAGTAATTTAATTAACAACTTTACCAGTAACCATTAGTGAAATTTTACTATTTTTTAGTACAATTTTACTAATTTAGATTCAGAGTGTAGAAAATAACTAATTATTTTTAGACAATAATTAATTATTAGTAAAAAATAACTAATTATTGGTAAAGAATAACTAATTATTAGTAAGTACATAACTAAGAAAATAGTTGACTAATTGAATTAATTACAAAAAATTTTAGTTATTTCAAAAAACATTAACTTTACCTTTTTAACTATAATTGAAATAAATAAATAAATAAGAACTATAATTTAAAATTGTTTAAATTAGTTAATTAGTTATAACTAATAAATAAATAAATGAATAAATTAATTAAATTATTCAGTTGAAAAGTGAATGTTCCTAATAATTAGTCATTATTAACAATTTGATTAGTATGAATAATATTATTTGAATCAGAGTTTTTACTATCAAATTATTTATTTTTAATTATAATTCAAATTTAGAGAAATAATGAAAGTGAAAATTATTTATTGTTTTTTTATTAGATTCTAAATAAAGAAAAGTAATAAAGTTTCTTAAATTAATCCTAAAAATAATTTAATTATTTTAAGAATTATTATGTCTATAAAGTTCTGAACTACCAAAAAATAAATGAAATTAATTAATTTAATTAATTTCTTTACTTTAAATTTATTTAATTTCTTTCTTTATTTTAAATTTATTTATTATTTGTTAATTAAAAATAAAGAAATAAACAAAATTAGTTATTAGTTAATTAATTAAATAGTTTAATTTCTTTTTTTAATCTCTGCATTTTAATTAGTAAAAATGTTATTTAATTTGAATTGGTGACTGATATTAGCTTTTCTTTGCTTTCTTTTTTATTTATTTAATATTTGTTTATTGACCTTTTTAAAATTAGAATGAAACTATGAACAATAGTTATTTACTAGTTTTTTGTTTTTTAGGGTAAATTCAAAAGTTGAAAAAGTGCATAAATTATGCATAAAATTTGATTTCTGAATAGAGTTAAACTAATTCAAATCAATTATACTTAAAGAGTTAAAGGAGTTAAAGTTAAATTAAAGTTAAAGTTGTAAGTAGTAACGGCCGTTGATGTAAAGACACATGCGCAATGTCTGTCGTGCACGGACACTACTACTTGCAAATAAGTAGTACGCATAACGCCCTGAAACAAATGTTTTCTTCCACGAAAATTGCGGTATTTCAAAGAAAAACTATCTAGTTTTCATGGATTTTCTTCTTGCAATTTTTTAATTATCGAAAAGTACTGAATATTTATACGTGATTGAAATAGTTTTTTCAAAAATTAATAAATAATTATATTCGCTTTTGTTAAAAATGTTTATCAATAATGTAAATATTAATCTTTAATATTTATATTTTTTATTTATTTTCTATATTTATATTAATTTTTTTTAAAAATTAGTAAAAACTTATAAATTTTTGAAACTTTATTGAAAGATTGAAACATTTAGAAACTTTATAATTTAATTTTTTAATATTTTTTAATATTATTATAAAAAATAAAATTTGAAGTTAGAAAAGAAATTAAGGAATTAATATAAAATAAAAAAAAGAATATATAATTATAGAGGGATTGAATTCACAGATAACGATAAATATAATAATAAATAAATGAGTTAACAAAATAAAATAAAATCAACTGAGTTTCGAACTTTCGGGACAAAATTGTAGATATGAATTAAATTTATTTTTAAAACTAAAATATGGTGAAGAGACTTTTTACTACGGTAAATTACATTTTAATCTCTTTCATAATTATTTTCTTATGAAATATTGAATTTTTCAAAATTATAACCCACACAAAGTGTAGATTTGAAGTCTTTTTTGTCTACGTAATTGATTCTCTAAATTTTAGTAAGATATCTTTTGTGATTAATAGTCTGTTAGTTATTTGAGAAAATTTTCTGTTGTCTTAATTTATTCACAGTGACAAAATTATGTTATAATTTTTATATAATTTATATTTATTTATATCACAGCCCTTAAATTATTGTTTTGTATTTTTTGTACAAAATTAATTTTCAACTAAGTAGAAATTTTTTATTTACAATATTTTTCATTTTTTCAATGTTTTCAATTTTTTTTTTTAATTAGGTTTTTGTATTAATAATTTTGATAACGTTTACCACGTTTATAATCAACAATTGAGAGAAAAAATTATTTTCATATACAAATTTTTATAAAATTTTGTCTGAAAAAAAATTTTTATTAAGTTTTTTATGATCAATTTTTAAAAAGAAAAATTTCTCAAACCAAAAATTTCATTGTTTTCTGCGTGAAAAAATATTAAATTTTTTTCCAATAGTTAATCATAAACGTCGCGAACTTCACAAGAACTATCATAAAATTATTACTTAAAAATTATTTAATGAATAATTTTTTTGAAAATTCTAAAAATAATTCGATTTTATAAGAGTTGCGGTTACAATTTTGATAAATAATTGAATTTTTAATATCATTTCAATTAAACGTGTTTTGAAAAAATTAGTTTTTGAAAAATTTTTATTTAAAATTAATTTAATTTAATTTAATTTATTTAATTGAAAAATGTTCATATAATCGAAATTTCATAAAATTTGAAGTGGATTTCTGAATTTTTTTAGCTGTACCTATTTTCTTTTTTTTTTTTTGCTTTAATTGAATTCTCAAAAAACTTTTTAAAAGATCATTGAAAATAATTGATTGAGAGAAGAATTTTAGTTTAAAATTCTAGAAAATAATGGAATTTTATTGAAATTATGAAAATAAATTTGGAGAAGTTACAGTAATAATTCGTATAAATTATTAAATTTCAAAAAGTTAAAAATTTTTTTTGGTTAATCTTTATTTCCTGGGAAAAAATTATAATAATTAAATATTTATAAAAAAGATCACTTTTAATGTTTATGTATAATTTTACAAATCAAGGATATTCATAAATAAATGTATTAGACAAATTTGTTTGTGCATCAAATTATTTTTGTTGTGAATCAGAATATTTTATAGAGTCGGGAATAAAGTCAAAATCTCGTCTGGAAACCGAGAAACAAAATTAGATTCTTGTTTTCTTTAATTTTTTTTGCTTGAGAAACTTTATAATTAATCTTTTTTTGGGGCTGCAAAACTATCTTGTAATAAAAATTAAATTTGAAGAATTAAATAAAAATTTCCTTCATTCGAACATTGAGAACTGAAATTTTTTTCGTTTAAGACGAAAAAATAAATAATAAATATTTTCGTCTAAGGCGAAAATAAGATAATTTTGATTTTTTAAAAAATATTTTCTCCAATATCTTTATGTAATATTTAACTGTAAATTATTAGCTCAGATTTTTTTTCGTCCAGTGGTAAATTGATGCCTTTAAATAGGTCTTATTATCAATTAACTATAACAGTATTAACTAGTTATCAAGTGAATGGAGCTATTGAAAAGTTTGCCAATTGCTCATGACTGTAAAATGGCAATAGTCCTTGGAAAGCAAATTGAGAGTAATAGATAATCCACGATTCGCTTCTTTGAAATTATTTATTGAAAAAAGAAACAGAAACTTCATTTTGACTGACGTTTTCAAGAGTCGATAATCCTGAGATACGATTATTCATTAACATTTCACCTATGAACTTTTGATTATTAAATTCTTTTTTCTTTTTTTTCGCTTTTATCATTATTATCTTTTCTAATTGTCCAGACTTTTAAATTTTTTTTTCTTTTTTCTTTTGACAATTATTAAAAATGATTTTTTCACATGTCGATCAATTTTTAATCGAGACAATCTTTATGTCTCGGATTGATATGGCAATACTGTGAATGTGTATTTGAACGATTGCTTTGAATTCATTTACAATTTTAATTATTTATGTATACACCTTTCGCATTTCTACATTCTATTAATGCTTTTGAAAAAAAATTTTTTTTTTAATTTACGAGACACATGGAATATTGTGAAGAGAGAGACTTTTTTTTGTAATGGAGATAATTTTCCCTTTATCATTTTTTTATCTTCATTTTTTTTAT